GTGTTTGTAGTTAAGTCTATCCGCTAACTTATGGTCGTGGCGGTGAAAAATGATAGATCAATGCCCTAAGCCAAAAAATGGGTCGTTCATATCAAACCTCGAAAGCTTCTCAAGCCCAAGAGTGTTCGAGAAGCTAAAAGTGCAAAGTGGATTGGCCACTTTGGTTCGATGGATAGCCTCTCGGGGAGGGAACAAACATGTATGAGTGAAGGAAACCGAATCTTTTTAACAACATTAGTGGTGGGCAACAAGAAACGGTTATTTGGATATACTCATATCCATCCCTTTTTTTAGGGTAACGGGTACCCAAATATTCATAATTTTTTTACGGGACGGGATTTGGGATAAAAAAGTTCTACAATGGGTATCCACGGGTAGTCGTTAATACTTGTTTGGGTATTACAGATACTCGTACTACCCGCTGGTTAGTTAGATGATAGCTAATTAGTTCAATTAATTGCGGTTTAAGGATTAATAAAATGATTTATGACTCTAATATGGTGGTACTGAAGGTGAAATGGGTATTTGGGTAATGTTACTTGGCCTCTTCTGCATCTGCAGCCTGTATACCAAAGGACAAAAGCGAGAGACTTGAAGCAAAATAATGCCAACCACTGCCAACATACGACTCTGCTCCATTGGAGCCAAATCTGGGATATTTGAGCCTCTTGTGAGATCTAAAGATCCCAACCGCTGTTCCTGTACATGGAAAGACAACTAAAGGAAGTGAGAGCAGTGCTTTACACAAAATTGGGACGAGTAAATAAAAATGTGATGTGAGTTATTATTAAATTGACGACAATATTTGGGTTTATATAATGATATGGAACCAATGATCTAGGTTTTACCTTCTCTGTATTTGGGTATATCGATACTCTTCTCATTTCCCTGCACATTCACGGCGCCACTCGCTCCTAATCATTACATATGAGTTACCCATGGATACCTATTATCCGTCCTGTACGGGTAATGAGTTTGGGACATGAGATGGAGTTTTCTCTCAAAATGAGACTGAGCTGGGTACCCGCATCCCAAAACAACATATACCATTGGCCTCTTAATTCAGATTATAGACAGAAGGATATTGGATGATACCATTATATTATAAGATACTCACCATCACAAACTCGAATTGTTCACATCGATAAGAAATGTGTCATAAGAGATGTTGTGACCCTTACTAATTGAGAAGTCATCAACGCAATTACATTCTCTATAAACATGTGAGATTCTAACATCCATACAAATCTAACATTTGGCCAATATGTTGTCACACAATACCATGTATACTATCATCACTACTTTCTACTCCTACTGGCGATGTTCAGTCTCAGAGCAATAGTCAAATCGCTATTGAGGATGACCTTCATATATCTTATCGACCACGCAAGCCTAAGGTCTTCCGTTGCTTCCTACTAATTGAGCATATGCCCATATTACAAATGCAAGCAGCCTTTGTACCTCTCCAAATGGTCCCTAATGATGCCCCTGTGTGGCAACATTTCCTCATGGGGATGATATTGGAAAAGTGTTTCCTACCGTCATTGGGCTACGACGGTTTATGTATAAATAGTTAAATTAGTTATTTATTAAAGTGTGATAATTATAAGTGGCAAAAGTTTATGGAGTTCAAGATTACTCAATATCCAATATGGTCTCAATGGATGATACCAGATGCTAAATCTAATTAGGGTTCCCTAGCTAAACATAGTATATAAAAAACTTAGAAGTTGTGGTCTCTGATACACCAAATACCGAAATACATACATATTCTCCCTATTAGGCATATGCGAGGTTCCCCGTGAGTGAACTAAGGATGCATTGTTGAGTAAGGTCACAAAAACTTCCAAATCGTGCTGTTGGAGGTATCGTCGGGTTAAATATTGTTCTACAGATTCCGCACCAAACTCCTAATGATGTACCATCATGAATCCATGTATTTAGATCTATTCGCTTTTAATAATCTGACAATATATTTCTAAGAAATTACATATATCTAATTCCAAGAAGTGATATCAGAGCAGGTTATCTTTGTTATATCTAATTACATAGTTATGCGTGTGATTGGCCACGACATATATGAATTCAGTTTTACAGTCAGAAGATGTTTTCATAGGGGTGGTAATCGGTTCGGTGCCGGTTAACCAAAAAGTAAAAAACTCATACCGATAACCGAACCAATAAGCCTTATCGGTTAATCGTCTCATATCGATTCGGTTAGCGGTTAGTTTGACGGTTAACCAATAATCACTAACATACGTTCCAACAAGTCCGAATATACCTAATCAAACTAAATATCAAACCAATAACTTCTATTTTCTTTCACGAAATATAATAAAAGTGAAAACATAACAACTTGTAATAAACAAAGCATAATCCAATTAAGTTTAACAAGTGTCATTTAATCTTTACCACATGAATTTTTTTTAGGGTAATGCCTATTTTTTATCCAAATCTTTTTCAGATTCTTTTATATTATCCAAACCTATTAAAATGCTATTAATTAGCCAAATCTTTCGTAACGCATCAAAATATTAGCCATTTTTACGTTATCGTTAATAATTTTGTACTCTTTTCTTAGTTAAAATACTAAAATTTTGGAATGTTGACCTTCATGTGTCTCTTCCAAGTCAGTATCATGTTGCCAAGTCAATATTACTAACAAAATTGCTAGCTGAAAGTTAACATATGGCTAATTCTTAGTATTTCAATAGGCTTGGCTAATAAAAAAGAATCTGAAAAAGGTTTGCCTAATAAATAGTCATTACCCAACAATTTAACTACACTTCTACATTATCACCATAAAATACTAATGATAAGAAATAATATCAATACAACATCCATTGTGAATTCATAATACAAATCCCATTTCCAAATTCCAATACATAAAATAATAAATAATCAACATCTTCATTTAACTAGTGAATACCAACTATCAAACACAAAAACCCCAAGATCATCATCATCCACAAATATCAACGAAACAAAGACTACTAGGGTGCGATGCTCGCTTTGTCGATTGCAATGGGGAGTCAGAGAGCTAGGATGACTTTTGGGCTTTGACTCTTAAACATATTTAAGACTTTGGGTAGAGGGTTGTTTGCAATAAGTGAAAATTGAGATGTCTAGAATTGTCACCTTGGTTGATTTAGAACCTTAAGACTTATTCACTTAGCCAAAAAGCAAAATTATGTGGTTATACTAGTAGTCGGTTATCGATTTTGTTATCGATTTTCTTATCAGTTAGTAGTTAACCACTAATCAAAATACATCTAACCAAAACCAAAACCAAACCACTAAGAAATTACCCGTTATCGATTAACAATTAATCAACGTTATTGGTGTAACTTGAGCATAGAAAACCCGACACTGTGCAGAAAGCCCTAAATCATAGTGACTGGAATGTTGCAATGCAAGACGAGCACAAAATGATTCAGAAAAACCAGACTTGAAATAGGGTTAAGAGGCCAGGTGGAAGAAAGATCCTTGGAACCAAATGGGTTTTCAGAACCAAGTTGAACCCTAATCGATCAGTCAACAGGTTAAAAGAAAGAGTTGTTGTTAAAGGCTATGCTCAACAAAATGGAATTGGCTATGGTAAGCCCCAATGTAGTCAAAAGCGAATTTCTACGTAGAAACGTTTTGGTGATATAGAAGGTTAAAATCGTAAGTTTTTAAGTTTTAAAGCGGAGTTTTTAACTATATAAGTTATAAAAACTGAGATTTTGTGTAGAAGCGTTTTAGTGACCTAGAAACGTAAAATCAATCAAATGGACTATAGATCTTGGTTTGATATTTAAAGGTGAGAAAGAAGTGAATTTGGTAGGTAACCGTGATAGTGATTAGCTGGTTCTTCAGAAAACATGAAGAGCACTTCTAGTTTCACTTTCACCCTTGGATCATGAGTTTTTTTTTGTTGGAGGTATAAAAAACACAACATTATAGCTTAGTCCACTATAGAAGCTGAGTACATTGCTGCATATGAAGTTGTGAATCATGTTGTTTGGTTAAGGAAGATCACGAAAGATATGAATTTCAAACAAGAGTAGCCAATTGTCACCGAGTGTGATAATCAGTCAGTTGTTGCAATGGCCAAGAATCCAGTGTTCTATGACAGAACCAAACACATCAAGATCAAGTACCATGTTTTAAGGGAACCCGAATATGAAGGTTTGGTTTCTCTTGTTCACTATTCATCCAAAGTCCATTTGCATACATGTTTATCAAGTCACTACCTAATGCCAAAATTGAACAATTGAAGCAATTGATTGGCATGGACAGTGGTCTTGTTCACTATTCATCCAAAGTCCATTTGCAGACAAATTTATCAAGTCACTACCTAATGCCAAAATTGAACAATTGAAGCAATTGATTGTCATGGACAGTGGACTTAACAAGGAGGAGTGTTGCAGGTTGAGGTCAGCGTGCTTGAGTTGCAGCTAAAGAAATGTTGTATGTTGCACAAGAAACAGTCAAGGCTGAAGGAAGGAAGAGTAAGGTTGGCTGGAAGTGAAAACTTGTTGAAGAAGGAGTTGGTTTGAAGTGATTTTTTTGTGTGTGTTCCACCTAGCTATTTTGGGACCACAACGGAGAAAGCTCTTTATGTGTTGTTGGTTTTTCAATTCAATATTTGAGTGTTCGGTTCAAGGATTGAAAAATCATACTGTATCGGTGGTTGAAACAGACAAACTTTCTACCGGAAGTGAAACCGATAAATAGTATTTAGCGGTATGTAACAGTTGAATACGATTTCAGTATAAAATACCATATCACTAAAATTTCCAATATAATGTCCAGTATCGTTTTTCAATATTTGATTTGGTTTGATTTTACTACACTACTTTTTTTTTTAAAAGGAATTTTACTACATTACTCCATCTTCTAAATTCATCCATTTTCTCTTTTTGGGTTGTACTTTTTTCAGCACCAAGTTTGTCTTCATTTCCCTAAATGTTGGAGCTTTGTAAACCACATGATTGAGCCCTATAAGCTGAAGGGTGAAATGAAATGAGCTAGGTTTTCAGTTCCACAAATCAAACGAGTTTGTTGCAAAGAGAAGCAAAGGGTGAAAGGGAGCGGCACGGAAAGGTAGCAGAGACAATTTTGATAATGGAGGCGGCGGAAGCCAGAGTGTGCGTGACTGGGGCAGGAGGATATCTTGGATCCTGGCTTCTGCATCTCCTCCTCTCCAAGAACTACACTGTCCATGGAACCGTCAGAGAGCCCTGTAATAAAAAAAACACTGACTCACCTCCTCCTTCGCTTCTTGTTTTCCCTTTTTTGTGTGCCTCTCAATAAATAAATCCCTGCATTATAAAATCTGATAGGCTTCTACCCAATTTGATGGATTGTTTTCTATAACCTCTTGTCATGCAGCTGATGCTAAGTACGGTCACTTGAAGGAACTTCCAAACCCCTCCAATCTCAAGCTCGTCAAAGCGGAATTGCTGGATTACAACTCCATCTACTCAGCTGTTGAAGGATGCAGCGGAGTGTTTCATGTTGCCAGTCCTGTTCCCTCTGCCTCCGTATCCAATCCTGAGGCAAAGCTGATTTTATCATTTCCCCATTACACTGATAGAAACAACGGCGTTGATATAATATTATAATACAATGGTGCACTCTTTATGGGCTATTTCCAGGCCGAGGTAATTGAGCCAGCGGTGGGTGGTACCCTGAATGTACTCAAAGCATGTGTTGAAGCAAAGGTGAAGAGGGTTGTTTTTGTTTCATCTGGAACTGCAGTTTCCATGAACCCCAGTTGGCCCAAGGATCAAGTAATGGATGAGACTTGTTGGTCTGATAAGGACTACTGCAGATCGATTCAGGTAGTTTGCATCGAGAAATGAAGTTATCAATGTGCTTGAGAAATCCCCCTCTCCTTTACACTTTTCTTTATGAATTTGTTCCGGGGCAGAACTGGTACCGTCTCTCCAAGACAGAAGCTGAGGGTCGAGCTTTTGAGTTTGCTGAAGCCAATGGCCTCGACTTCGTCAGTGTTTGTCCCACTTTTATCTTGGGGCCAATCCTGCAACCTGCTGTGAATGCAAGTAGTCTTGTTCTCCTTAGGCTTCTCAAAGGTACTGAACTTGAACCCTGTTAGTGGACTATGGCCTTGATATGTACCAAAGGTTTGTGATTTGTGAAATTCAACTGACTGGGTACATACATGAACTGCGCGGTACACACAAGGGCATGACTCGACGGGTAACCAGTGTCGAACCATGGTGGATGTTCGCGATGTAGCTGAAGCATTGCTTCTGGCATATGAGAATGCTGAGACGCTGGGGAGATACATATGTGCAGCTCATATGATATCAACCCAGGAGATGGTTGAGATACTCAAGGGCTTGTATCCCAACTACAAATACCCTGAAAGGTGAATGCACTGAAAACTATATACTCGTGGGTTCACTGTCAATATGCTCTAAGATGGCTAATTTACTGTCTACCATAGTACTCTTATCAGCCTTTGGCAACTTACTTTAGAATGGGGAGGATGTTGGCTTGAGCCTCGTATATTTATGTCTGTCGTCGACCAATGTGGACTGCAGCTTCATCACGGGAGCAGAGAGGGTGGAGCTGAGTTCCCAAAAGTTGCAGAGACTTGGATGGAGTTACCGTCCAGTGCAAGAAACGCTTGTGGACTCTGTGGAAAGTTACAGAAAGGCTGGAATCTTGGATTAATTTTAAGACGCCACAACGCCATCTCGACGGCGGCACGCTAGCACTTCTTAGACTTCTTGTGGTAGTTTTCATTGGTCGATATCACTGAAGATGGTAGCTATCGTCCCCAAATGGACAATTGCAGATAGAGTTCTCGAAACAGAGTCCAATGTGAGTATCTCGTTTGATGTACCCAGTTTGTAATATTGGCTGACTTGTAGTTGTAATTCCACTTACTAATAATCCGACTGCCTTGTAACTTTACTGAACCGCAGTTCGATTGAACCGCAATTCGAACAATATGATTGATTCGAATGAATTATGAAAACTAAAACCTAAATGTGATTTCAACTAATGGTCCCATCCTCCATCGTGAGTTTTCTAGCATGAAATTGTCATGGGTTGGGCTCCCCCATCACTATTCCCACTCATGGTGGAGCTGTGTCTCGATTTTCACCTTCTCTTAACTTTCTCAACGAAACGAAGCATGGTGAGAAATCCGCCAAGGGGAAGCTTTCGAGACTAGGGTATAAAGAGACTCGTCTACTAATGCTGTCAATAGAGGTAGTGGTCTAATAGTTGCTCGGAAATCTAGTATTGCTTGAATAGTTATTTCATTTGCTTAGTCGAGTGTAAGGTGGCTTCCATAGGGTCATCAGTTGTCATGTTTGTCCATTTAGATAGTGATGTCGTAGTTCGAATGTACAACTTAATGAAATCAAATTTATGCTTTCACCCTATTCGATTCATGTATTTGTAGTTGGGGACTTTAATTGCCTCCTAAGTTCATATGAGAAATTAGGGGAATCCCAACTTAATATGTTGGGTTAATACCCTATTTTGGCCCAAAGTTTGGCGTAAGTGTAAGGTTTGACCCGAATTTTTGAATACGACAATTGTAGTCAACTTTTTAATTTATTGGATAGATTTGGCTCGACGTTTGGGCTGACCGTCAATGCTAACGGTCAAACATTCTCATCGTTGATGACTCAGCAAAAAACTTTTTAGACTGCTTCTCCACCCTCACCCCGATCCCAGTCTTAACAACATCTGTGGGATCTTCCCTAACAACCCCATCACCTCCAACTCCACATCCGGCAAGCTCGTAGCCGACGTCGTTTCCCTTAACTCCATTGTCGGGTCCAACAAAATAAAAAAATAGAGACAACTTCACCATCGACGTCCTTGACACCAGGATCTGCGAGACTAGCAAAGACTCCCACGCCGCAGCTTGTAATTGAAAGCAAGGGTTGCAAGGAAGGAAAGAAGATTCGACTAGTAACAGATCCTAATTGACAGGAGGTTGGTCTAGTTTGCCAGTGCTTTTGTGATGATTTAATGAGCGCGTAACTTGGCGGGAGATTCTTCTGGGGGCGATTCGTCTCCAAGCATCATCATTCATCACGTCCTACCCACATGTGGTGTACCACTAGGGGAGATTGGGGTCGTCAGAGAGAATTTCGATGAAGCTTTGCCTGTGTTCTACCCTCCAATGTGTCACCCCTGGGATGAAGAATTAGTCTCGGTGAGTTGTTTGGTAACCAGGAAAGTGGAAGAAAATGAGAGAAAGTGTGGGAAAGTAGAGAGAGACGAACAGAGAAGAGAGAGAGGGAAAGAGTAAAGTTGTTATTGATCTCCAAGATGAATACAACGGTCTTGGGGGGGGGGGGGGGTTTCTTCTACAAGCTTTCAAATATCAAAATAACCCCACTCTTCTTCCTATTACATCCTCAGACTTCTATCTATTTACATTTAAGGACATTCGTTACAACTCCCCACTCCTTCAGCCCAAGCTTAGCCCAAGCTTGTCCTCAAGTTTGAAAGTCTGGAAATATGATGTGAAACTCCAGCCATGGTTCCCAGGTAGCATCCTCCTCCAGCTGATGAGACCAGTGCACAAGAACTTGAGTAAAAGGTTTGTTATCTTGGGTCATCACTAGTCGAGCTAGAATAGCAACATGAGCCAACTTTAAAGCCCCCTAATCATAAATATCAGGCAATGTAGGTTGAACTTGTAGAGAATCGCGCAACTTGGCTCGCTTGAAGAGGGAAACATGGAAAACGAGATGAATAGCTGATCTGGCAGGCAACTTTAGTTTATAGGCCACTGCCCCTATCTTCTTTTCAACTGGAATTGGGACAAAGAATTTGGGAGCGAGCTTTTGATTCATTCAACTGGCAACTATAATCCGACGATATGGTCTGAGCTTGAGGAACACCAAGTCACCCTCCTGAAATGACGTCTCTGTACGATGAGCATCTGCCATCTGTTTTTGCTTGTTCTGAGCTTTAGCCAGATTAGTCCTCAAAATACCAAACAGTCTATGTTGTTGTTGAAGCCTATCAGCCACTGCAGCCACTGAGGTGAAAAGAGGATTCTGTAGAAAAAATTGGGAAGGAGGATAGCCATAGAGGGCCTGGAAGGGAGAAGCTGAAGACTGCTGTGGAAATTCGTGTTATACCACCACTCTACCAAGGTCAACCAAGTAGCCCACTGTTGAGGATAGTGATGTACCATACCCCTGAGGTATTCCTCCAGACAACAATTCAGTCTCTCTGTCTAACCAACTGTCTGAGGATGGTAGGCAGTAGAGTAGTGCAATAGTAGCAGGCATGCCAGGTAGTTTAAACACTCCATCAAAGAACACATGTGCAACTATTATGCCCGTGTAAGGCTTTGTACCCAAAAAAATGTCCATACTTAGAGAATCGATCTATCACCACTAACACTACATCCTTGCCTTTAGAACTAGGTAGCCCCTCAATATAATCCATGGAAATATGTTTCCAAGCCTGATCTGGAATAGGTAAAGGCTGTAGCATGCTTGGATATGACACATTCTCCACTTTACACATCTGACATACCTCACAGTGTTGAATATAATCCTTCAATTCAATTTTAAGACCAGCCCACCAAAAATACATTTTTATTCTCTAATATCTAGCTTGTAACCCTGAATGACCTCCCACATGAGAATCATGAAACAACTGCAATAACTGCTTCCTCATATTCTCACACAGACCAACATAGATAGAAACTTTATGGTAAAGTAGACTCTAGCGAATCCAATAAAGCCTTGGATCAATGATAGGTACAACAGCTTCCACGAATAGGTTCTGCACTTTAGTATCCCCAACATAGGAAGATTCCAACTTAGAAAGCCAAGCTGGTAGCACAACAGTAATTGGTCTGCATTCACCTTGATTAACCATAGCAGTAGCAAAGTCGGGATGTCTGGACAAGGCATCAACCACTTGATTAAACTTGCCCTGTCTATACTGGATCTCAAAATCCAATCCCATAAGCTTAACCAGTCCTTCCTTTTGTATTTGAGTGTGAATCTTCTGACCCAACAAATGTTTGAGACTTTCATGATCTGTAACAATCTTAAACTGTCTTCCTTCCAAATAATGGCCCCATTTTGTCGTAGCTAAGATGATTGCCAAGTATTCCTTCTCATAAGTAGAGAGACCTTGCTTCCAAGTCCCTAAGGCCTGACTGTGATATGCCAAGGGTCTGCCATCTTGAGACTGAACCGCACCTACCCCAACTTCACTTGCATCAGTCTCCAACGTGAATGGTTTGTTGAAATCTGGAAGAGCTAACACAGGAGCTTGATCAATAGCAGCCTTAAGAGATTCAAAAGCCTCATGAGCCTTGTCTGGCCATTTGAAACAATCCTTCTTCATTAATTCTGTTAGAGGTTTGCCAATAATACCATAGTTCCTTAAAAATTTCCTGTAATACCCTGTTAATCCAAGTAAACCTCGCAGCTCTATCACATTCTTTGGTACTGGCCAAGCAACCATGGCTTCTATCTTGGCTGGATCAGTAGTCGCCCCTTCCTGATTAATGATGTACCCCAGATAATCAATCTGAGTTTGCCCAAAAGATCAATTAGAAGGCTTAGCAAAGAGTGTATTCTCTCTTAAGATAGCTAAGGTGCCTGCCAAATGTTGTTTATGAGTCTCCTTATCCGTGTTGTATATGGGAATATCGTCAAATAAAACCAAAATAAACTGTCTGAGGTCAGGGGCAAAAATCTAGTTCATTAAATCTTGAAAAGTAGCTGGTGCATTAGTCAACCCAAATGGCGTAACTCTAAACTCGTAGTGGCCTTCGTATGTTCTGAATGCAATCTTGTGCTGATCCAAAGGGTGCCTACGAATCTGATGGTAACCAGACAGTAAGTCAAGCTTAGTAAAGAACTTAGAACCTCAAAGTTCGTCGAACAAATCATCAATAACTGGTATAGGAAACTTATCCTTAACAGTCAGATCATTCAACTTCCTATAATCCACACAGAACCTCTACGAGCCATCTTTTTTAAGCACAAGTAAAACTAGTGAAGCATAAGGATTCTTGCTAGGCTGGATGTATTGTGACTCCATCATTTCCTTGACCTACCTATCCATCTCATTCTTCTAAGGTATAGAATAACGGTATGGCCTGAGATTTACTAGGTGGGAATTAGGTCATACAATCAAAGTCGCACAGCTCTAAGCAATTCGAACCAAAAGAACCAGATAGGATGGAAATCGATCGGACAATACTCACTCGTGAATAAGGGCAATCGATATATGAATCGATCGGACAGATTCAACTCGGGATAAAGGACAATCGATATGGGTAGCTCGCCACAACTAGGGTGAATACCTAGGTGATAAGAGTCGCTCTAACACTCCAGAATCCTCAATAGAGTAATTAGAGCAAAATTCCTCAATGGAACTCGGCAATAGCCTATGTAATTCAATAATAATTGTCTTGGCTCCAAACCAACGAGTTCAACCCTTTAAATAGGCTTCAAACAACCCAAATCTGAAAATAACAAGGAAAACATCAAAGTAAACCGACTTAAGAAAAAACAACCCGTTAAGCCCGCTTATTGCATTCTGCCGTCTTTTCCAGACTTCCTTCTTCCTCCACTCGAATCATCATATAAGGCCTTCCTCTAAGCAGATCCACGTCTATAGCTCCAAAATGATTCTCCAAATAAGTTGCGAGCTTCTCTTTCAATGCTCTTGTCTTAGCACATGTGACTGGCCCTTGGATGCCCTCATCAGCCCCTCCTTCTTCAAAAGGATTTGCCCTCAAATCCGAATTACCATACAAGTAAGGTGCAAGGTGAGAAACATTGAACGTGTCACTTACTCCATACTCTCCCGGCAAATCGATCTTATAGGCATTGCTTCCCACCTTCAAAACCACCTGGAAAGGACCATCACAACGAGGCATCAACTTCGATTTCCTTTGCTGTGGAAATCTCTCCTTCCGCAAGTGCACCCATACCCAATATCCAACTTCAAAGTGCCTTGGTTTCCTGTGCTTGTTCACATTCTTCATATTCTGCTCAGTTCTCCTCTCA